CTTTTTTCAGCCACTTTGCTAGGGGTCGTCAAAGATACCCAATTTGCAGCATACGTTCTTCTTTCGTTAAGTAAATGCTTAACATCAAGTGCTGGAAACCATTGTAGATGCATTTAGGGATCAGGTTTGCTTTCTGCTGCCTTTAATGTAGCGTCTCGGATTTTCATGAAGATGCAAGGGGTCATATTTTTCCTTTCACAGAGGAGGCAGGAATACGAATCGAACCTCCTGACAGAGTCGGCGTCCTGCAAGCCCCTAAACTCTGTACTAGTTTTCCTTAATAGATTCTCCAAATAATTATGCCAAAATCGAAGCACTCTGGTTGTTTAAGAGTACGAGGAACGGAGTAGAGCAGGCTTACGAGCCTCGTTCTTTAACATTACCGGAGCTGAAGGCCTTATTTATTGGTGCAGTGAATGACGGCAACATGGTGAAGGGGAGACTTTTGAAATCGGAGTTATGGGTTTTACAAAATCAAAGTAAGCAAAGGGCGCACGACTAACGTATTGCAATTTAAACCTTGCCTTCCATTGTTTTAGTTGGGAAGACATCACTCTTTAGATATTTCTAGTAATGCATTATTGCAATACCTTGCAAATTATTGGTAAGCCTCCAATTTTTCTTATTAAAAATCATCTAGCAATTTTTAACTGGAGCCTTGTATTTAATCTGCACCCCATTTTTACTTTTGTTAGGCTTTTTGTTAGGGTTTTTGCATTAGGTGCATGCGGCTTTCAAAGTGACGTGGTCTGCACCTTTCTGAAACTCTACTGATTTTTTTTGTTGTTTAACCTTTCCTATTTGGACTGACTTTTGTGACTATTCTTTTAAACACTCTTTTTGGCCCAATCGGGCGCGGGCTGTTTATTTCATCTCCAGCCTACCTAGTATCTTACTCGTAGCGTTGAGTGGCAGTAATGTCCGACTTGCCACAGACACAGGAAGTTGGAGATATATCGACTCTGGATGGCAATTCACAGGCCATTAGCCAGATTTGGGGTGGACTTTTCCCTCTGAAGAGGAACATGCCACCTCTTCGTAGTGTCTGTTTTTAATTAATTTTGGTTTTAGCAATGTCGAAGGAATCCTACACAGTTGGAAGAGAGGGAAGTTGCGATATTGTACTTACATCTGAAATGTTCACCCATGGAACACTTTTAAGTGCTGTTAGCAAGGTGCATTTTCGTATCGCTCGAGTATGTTATCGGTGTTTTGTAAATGCCATTTTAGGTAAATACCAGTGTTAGTCCTCAGGTTTTTATATACGATTTAAGCACGAACGGGACTTTTGTTAATGGACAGAAGATAGGTATGTTTATTGCGCGGTGTGTCACTTGTAGGGAAGGGTCGTATGCAGCCGCTCTGTAACAATGATGAGATATCAATTGCGACACAAAATTGTAAATGTTAGTTCTTCAGCATGTTTCTCACAGCCTCCTTAAGGTTTTCTGTTTACGGACACGTTGTCAAGTGAATATCCTGATGAAGTGTCTTCGAAGTATACAATCTGCAGGTCCCTGGGAAGGTTTGTCATTTTCTTTACAGAGTGACCTTTAGGGGTGCATGCGGTGAAGTTCGCATCGCTTACGCAAGAGAAACCTGTGTCCAGTATGCAATGAAAATTGTGCCAAAAAGAACGTTTTCATCGCACCGTTCCCGTTTCGGTAACCGCGAGTTGACGGAAGTTGAGATTTTAAAAAAGTTGAACTATGTTAGCCTAATAAGCCCTTTAATTAGCCTTTTTCATTGGTTACTTTTCTTACACTCTCCCTTTTTTTTCAGCCGTGTATTGTGAAAATACATGATGTTATTGAAACCGAGGAGACTCTATTTATTGTCCTCGAGCTGTAAGTGTCACTACCTAAATCTAAAACTTTCTTTAGAGTTGAAGGTGGCGAGTTATTTGATCGGATTCTCAATAGTGGTCATTTGTCAGAAGATGATTCGAAATTCTTTTTTTTACAAATGCTTATGGCTACAAAGGTGTGGAGAGTTCACATTTTCTGATTCATTGTGTAGTATCTCCATGATAATGGCATCACTCACAGGGATCTGAAACCTGAGAACATATTACTTGCTGGGAACTCAAACAGGTGTCTTATCAAACTTACTGACTTTGGTTTATCCAAAATTGTCAAAGACAACACTATGCTGCGTACTTTTTGTGGGACTCCTACCTATTTGGCACCGGAGGTGTTGCTGACTGCTGGCAATGGCACCTACACTTCGTCAATCGACGTCTGGTCTTTGGGGGTTATTTTATACGTTTGGTGAGTGTGTGAATCATTTTTCATGTTATTCTCACCTCCAATTTGATCTTGTATTCGTAATAGCCTTGTGGGATATCCTCCATTTACTGATGAACGCAAGGATTGTGATTTGAAAACGCAAATTACTCATGGACTCTACGATTTCCCCGATGTCTTTTGGAAAGGAGTGAGTGAGTCTGCGAAGGATCTTGTTAGAAGGCTTATGTGTGTGAATCCCACTGAACGCATCACGCTTGAGGTAGGTTTTTAGAGGTAGACTTTTAGAAAAAAAACCGAGTTGTTTTGCTGACTGATTCAGTTTACCATTTTTTAATCCTAACATTTAGGATGCGCTGCTCCACCCGTGGTTGTCTGATCAGGTAATACGTGATCAGTTGGCTGATCTCATGAAAACCGCTGGTTTCCCTGATCTTGTGGATGGTGTTCTGGATCCTCGGAATCTCATCTCTTGTGTGAGGTGCAATAGCTCTTCGACGCCAGTTAAGCTGGATGGGGACGCCAACGGAACTGATAGTGGTGAAAACAATGAAACTGTTTCATATCTTGGAAACTCGGTAAGTCCCTGCTTCTGTTCAATCCTACACCGTTCTGATTTTTGCTTGTTGGGAGTAGAGATTCTTTGTATTCTCAGCTGTTTGATTTGCTTTATTTCCCGCTTTCAGTCCACCACAAGAAAAAGATCGTTTGAAGAAATGACAGGTAACAGCTGTCAGTCCCAATCCAAGAAGTCTGCATTTTGAGAGCTAAAAAGATCAAGTCAATATTTTATACTCCACAAATGACCGGATCATATCACTGTTTTTTACTACGGACTTAGAGAACACACAGATAGAAACTATTTTACCGACGGCTAAATCTCTGGCGATTTTGTAATTATGTAACTTTGGATTTCCGTTTTTGACTCCATTGTGAGTGCACGTATTGTGTTTCCATTAGATCCCGTTATTCTACACTGGCGATTTTAGTTGTTAAAATGTCATTCACAGTGCAGCTGACCGACGTCTAGCTCCGTCTGAGGGTTTCGTACTATGGTGTTGGGCTTGACTTTACCTTGTAAAACGTGGGTTGGCTGACGCTTTTTTGGCCAAAGACCTTGGGCTGGGTCCTAGAATTGTGTCTACATGGTACGGACGTAGTTACAGACGCTACCATCACCGCATGACTCATGCGAATGTTAGTTTTTATCCGTTTAAGCCGCCAGGGCGTGCGCTCTGCACGCACTGGTGGGTGAGAGGATGGATTCGAACTCTCCGAGTGCAATTCTGGGTGTTTTTGATCCCCTTTTTGTGGTTGCGTCACCCAATTCACGAGAATGAATTGTGCGACGAAGTGATTCAATGATTGAGTAGGCTTCGCATGTGTTAGTGGGTTACTATTGGTCGCAGTGAGTAGGCAACACTAAATGCGTTTAAACCAAGAGTGAATCATTTCTTTGTCACCTTTGGGCTACGCGAAGCTTGTTCGCCCACGAGAGTCGTAATTAGACCAATAAGCAGGAAGCAATAAGCTGTAGTCCCATAGAGGTTGGTGGAGAGCGTCGTGATATCCGGTTTGATTAGAACTACACCTTTAATCATTTGTTGAGCCTCATGGTCTAATTGTGTAGATAATGGTTGCTTTAACCAGCTCAGCGTTATTCCTCTTCAAGTTGGTCGTAAAAGAAATCTAGTCGTGGTCTAGTCTCTAAACATGCTGCCCAAAATATGGCCATTGGAAAATGGAAGCTGATTCACGGATTGAACTCGCCTCGGCGAAGCTGTTGGCCAGATAAGCAGTTCGAATCTGAACACCGTGGGATGTTAGTGCGCATAACACCATTCCTCTGCAAATTCTGCTTAGGTGAATTTTGTTCGAGCTTCTCTAGGTGACAAATTATCAGTTCATGATATTTATTTTCTGTACAGTATGATCTTGAAAGGAAGCAAGATCCTTGCCTTCCCTACGAGAATATCTAACAAACGGTTTCTAAATTACTTTGTGTTAAGTGAAACAATAGCCGGTACGGATAGGAGAATTGCGGATCACCCCAAATATAAAGGAAAAGGGGTGGTCCAGAAATGAATATGACCAAACAGTAGAGCCTGATGTGCATGAATGTGGCAATACACAACTAGCGGAGAGAAGTTCGGTGATACACTATGCACAAACGGGAATGAACTATTTACTGATGGTGTTTTTTTGAGAATATGACCAAAGTGTATGCGTTTATTGCCAGAGGGTATCATCGAACTCCATAGGTCCGCGTAATCCCTACCTATGTAAATTGCTGGTTCTGTATTTCCCATACACATTTGGGCAACTGCCCCAGAGTCGCCAATTTCATGATCTCCGTAGTTAACTCTGGATTTGTCTAGTGGGTGAAACATTCTTTGAGTGAATATTCCTGGTAAATGTAGATTTTAAGTACCATCAAATTACCCATTTCAAGAGGATATTACTGCCGCTCATTTAAGTAAAATACTTACATTTAATTCTGACTTAGGTCCCCGCCCAGGAACTGGTAAGTTCAGAGCACAACATATCATACTTCTTATACTCGAGGTTAAATGTTCTATTGGAGATAGTAAGCCACAAACTCAGCAGATCAAAATCGCTAAAAGCCCATGCGATTCGCAGTAGCAAAGAAAATTCCATCCAAAGTTTGCATCCAACTTCTGTTCAAAAGCACCACTTAGCAAGAGATCAAATGGCTTTTGAGAGGATAGAGACTACATTCAAACCGAAGATATGTGGGTCTTCGGGTTCTTGCGTCAGCTGCAAAACCTCCTTTGATTCGAACTACAGTTTCTGATAACCATAATTAAGTCTATAATCAAGGGAGCAAACAGGCTTACAACAGAGAACTACATCCTAATGAAAAGGTCGGCAAGGACGCATTAGGCACAACAGATGCGCCATGAAAGAGCTAATACTCGTAGAAAATGGGATAAAAAACTGGGAGATATCCCAAAACCGCCTTTATCGGAACCTTGATATAACAGCTAGGTAACTCCATTCAGCAAGTAGGTAGAGATGGCCATCCATCTATCTACGTGGAATCAAACAGAAATTGTGACATATGTACACAAAATAATTCGAAATACTTACAAAAACATCTTGACTATAACTATAATGCCTCCCCTAAAGTTGTATTAAACCAGAGTAGCAGGAAAACACATGCTGCTAACGAACAGAAAGGTTTTTCCTATTACCTTGAACAAGGGGCTACCCTGAAGCAAAACAAAATCTGCAGGGGTTGAAGTGGCTGGACAATTTAAAAGCTGCTTACACAAAATATCAAATCGAAAAACTAAAAATTTCATTTGCACTGATTCAATGGTAATTAGTAGACACAAATGTAATGCGTTGGTTGTTTAACTCTCGGTTTTGGTAAAGGGTTGCCTTGTGTCTTTGCCGTTGTAACTTGTCCGGGTGGGCTGACCTCCGGGCCATGCCAGTAGCTACAGGCCCTTCAGTATGGTGAATATAAGTATTCTTCCCGAGTGTTATGCTTTCTTCCCTCTTCAGGGAAGTCTCGGGGTGCTACGTTGGTGTAAGCAGAAAGCGAACCCCATCCCAAAGGACATCTACCCTGATTTCTACTGCTGGATGATAAATTTTAGAGGGACAAAAGAATTGCATACGATGCGGATGGGGAAATCGGTGACTACCCCCTAAAAGAAGGGCTAAAAATGCCGTCTACCTATGGCAAATACCCCAGTCGTCTGTTCTGCAGGAGAAGTTTTGTTACGGAGTTGCCTACCGCAACTGCGTAAATGTGAAAACGCGAAACCTGCCTAAAGCTACTTCTTGCTTAATGGAACTCAGATAGATGTGACTGGTCTGCTCTGGAGTGAGAACAAAGTGGCGAGGAGTAGACGCGAAACCCTGTCCCCGCGGAACGGGGTTAAATCCCGTCCTTGCTAATATAGATCTGCTTTTTGGCCTGCATTCCTACGATTAGCTATGGACAAACGTGATGGCAGCACATTCTCCTGTCCTTAAATCCCCTTCCCTACAACACGAAACTGCAGATCCAGCTGAATTACCAAGAGGAGTCGATGACCTTGCGATTAAGTATCTCCTTAGTCGTAGACAAATTTGATAACTGGTAAGGCTGGCTCGAGGTTGTTCTCTTACAGCAGCGATTACTTTGTGATGGCGAACGTAGGGTGTTGACCAAGGGGGGCCCCAGGGACGACGCCCAAAAGAGGATAGGGATTATGCAGTATGTTAGTTGCTTGCTTAACTCTTGGTATTGGTAATGTGACCAATGGAGCGCTTCACCATTGTGCCTTTCTCTAGTGGGCTGGCCTCCAGGCCGTGCCAGTAGCCCCAAGCCCTTCTGTAAGCCGAATATATGTATTCTGCCCAAGTATTATGTGATAAAATGGTTTTTTGTCTCTCGGTTTTGGTGAAGAATCACTTTTTACTTAGTCTTTGTACCACACTGGGTGGGCTGGTCTTCGGGACATGCAAGCATCCCCAGTACCTTCTGTATGCCGAATGTATGTATTCTATCCGAGTATTATGTCTTCAGAGAAGTCTTGGGGTGCTACACAAGACAAGCGAATACGTTAAATACATAAAAACAGGCAGTGGTAACTGTAATACAATGGTGGGTCATCCCTCGGTGACGGTGAGGCGCCACTTTTGTATTTTGAATTAACCATACTGTACCTCGCTGGGTGGCCTGGCCTTCGGGCCATGCCAGTAGCCCAGACATTCTCTCTGAGGTGAATATATATATTCTGCCCGAGTATTGTGTCTGCTTTCGTCTTCAGGGAAATGTCGGGGCGCTACTGTAATGAGATATTGGTTTATCCCTCGGTTCTGGTGAGGCGCACTTTTGTACTTTGAACTAGCCCCCTTGTACCTCGCTGGGTGGGCTGGCCTTTTGGGCCATGCCAATAGCCCAGACACCTTCTCCGTGCTGAATACATATATTCTGCACGAGTATTCTGTCTTCTTTCGTCTTCAGGGAGTCTAGGGACGCTACACTACAGTAACAGTATATGCAAAAATATTATTCATGCAAATTTGAGAGCTGATGTTGTAATAATAGCAAAATTTACAGATAGGGACAGGACAAAATATTGGGAGAAATTAATGACAAACCTTTATGACGATCAAAGAGTTCCGAAGTACAATTAGAAGTGTAATTATGAAAAGATATTGGTTTAGCAAAATAATGGAATCAAACTCAATCTGTTTGCCTGGAGTAAGGCAGCCTAATGGTAATGCCCTGAAATTGAGGCTAAACGCCACAAAAGCCGCCGCCGAAACAGTATAGTTTTTTTAAATGTAACTAATGGGTTCAACTAATTGTTTTATTGCTAAAAAAATTACAAAAGATATTTCTTGGTTTGAGCAGACGAATGTTGGA